TAAAACTCTGATGAACCAGATTCTACAAAAACATTACATTTAAATTTTTATAGGTTTTCATCATCATTTGATGTATTTGCACTCATTGTGTCTACTTTTAATGTTCATTTTAAATGTGTGGTTTCCCTTCTTGTTCACATATGTACATTTTATTTTTAGCTTTGCTTTAAAGTTTGTTTTGTGATTTGAACATTTGTGAGTTAAAATAAAGTTGAACTGAAGGTCGTCTCTTCTTTAAACATGTTTGAGGGAAATATTCCTGAGATCCAATAGTTTTGTGTCTTTTTATGATTTTCAGCTGAGTTAACAGTCATTAAAGTGAAAAAAGGATTTCACGATGAAGCTGGCACCGTTTTTTTTTTTTTTTTTAATCTTCAACGCTCTGCTGGTCTCACTGATCCTCTCCTCCGGAGAGGAGGAGGCTGGGAGGCTCATCCTCCCAGCTCCAGCTCAGCTGGTGACTCCAGAGGCCGTTCCAAGACCCCAGTCGTGCGTAATCATGAAGGTCCGATCCGCGCAGACAGGCGGACAGAGACGGGTCTGCGACGAACGGTGGAAGCGATTTAAAAAAACATTTTACGTGTAAAAAAAAAAAAAAATCATTTTTAAATCGCTTCAGCAATTTTTTAAAACATTTTTGTATAAAAACAAAATATTATTTTATTCAAAAATTGCTTCCAGCGTCCGTCCTAGACTGTCCAGTCCGCCTGACGGCCGGGTAGGATCGGGATTCAGCCTTCATGATTACGCGCGGCCAGGGTCTGGCAACGTCCATCTGCGAGTCCCCATCTCCAGCTTTGCAGTGACCAGCGGAGCTCTGAGCACACAAGGCTGGTATCCGGAACCCGAGCCTCCGAGTGGCACATCGAAGGATCTTCCGCGGTGACCAGCTGAACTTGGAGCCGGGGAGATGACGCCCTGCCTGGTCTGGCGCTCGGAGGGAGGATCGGGGTACACCAGCAGAGCTCCATCCAGCTTGCTCTGAATTATGTTGTCGGCCACCAAGCACAAAAAATGCCAACACATCAACATTAGAGCAAGATGTTGTCAGTATTGTTTTTAAAATCTTTAAAATAAGTCCAGCCGCTGCTCCAGTCCGAGAAATTGCAAATGGCGGATTATTGTTTTGAAACGTTTCTGAAGGATTCAGTGACTCCGCCCCCGACTCCGCGCCCGACCAATCAGTGACCGACAGTGTTCTGACATCACGTTTTTGCTTTCATCTCAAAAATTCTAGAGAAAATAGTTGCAGGTCAGTTGCGTGAACATCTACAAAGAAATAATCTGTTTGAAGAGTTTCAGTGAGGGTTTAGAGCTTATCATAGCACAGAAACAGCACTAGTAAAAGTCACCGATGATATTCTCATGGCCTCAGACAATGGACTTGTGTCTATACTGGTCCTGTTAGACCTCAGTGCTGCATTTGATACACTTGATCACAATATTTTACTACAGAGGCTTGAATATGATATTGGGATTACAGGAACGGCTCTAAAATGGTTAGAGCCCCCCAACCAAAGAAGCCACCAAACTTCAGCAGCGACAATCAGCCAGGAGTGCCTGAACAGCTGCAGACAGAGCACCACGATGACCGAGAGCGCACCCCCACCCCCCACAAAAGGACCGACCAGTCCACCACAGCAACACCCACAATGAGAGCACCCCATGCAAGGGAGGGCACATGCCTAACACGCCCAGACACCCCCGGGCCAGCAGTGCAGAGCCACCTGAGCAAAA